TGGGGTACCTGTTAAAGGTTTCACTAGGTTGGATGTGCACAATATGGAGGAGTTGGGGATGTTCAACCCCCAGACTCAGCATTGTGGAAAGAGATCTGCGTCATTGCAGATCTCAACCTTCGCTCATCGAGGGGAGCAGAGCTGCGGCTGCAGCTGGCCGTGCTGGGTGAAAGAGCCCTGTGGTTGGGTCTGACGGGCTTATCAGAGAGGGAGAAGGCAGAGTTCCTCGATTCCCCAGTGGAGCCAAAAGCCCTTTTTGACAGTGCAGCCCCGCAGTGACAAATAATGCATCAGCTGTGCGACTAACGCAAGCAAGATAGGGAAGCTTTTGAAAATTGCCTTCCCAGGAAGCCTACTGCTCGCCCTCCCCTCAAAACACGTGTCCGGGGTTTGGCTTCCAGGGGGGGACAGTTAGGGTACAGAAACCCTAGCCCTAGCAGTCAATGCAGGCGGAGGTTCACCCAGCCCAAAGGCCTCGTTTGTGGCAGCAGCGGCTAAGCATCGCACTGTTAACCTTCAGGGAGGGAAAAAGAGGCAGGTGACCTAACCTGTGGTCTGGTTTTGAATAATCAAAAGAGGGGCTACAGCACTCATGGAGTCTCTGTAACACACCTCTGCACAGCACAGGAGTCTTGTCCCCCCCACCGTGGGGTGGGATTCAAACAAAATGTTCAAAGGAAGGAAGTTCTCTGAGTGTTCGCACCAGTTAATACCGGTTCCCCACAAGTTGTTCCTCCCCTCTCCACCTGCAGGGTTATGCAAGAGAGAGAGGACGAAAGTTTACACAAGTGGTCTCATTCAAAAGAAATAAAAATGGTCCCAGTGCATCCAGGCAGTGGGCCAAGAGCACAGATGTATGAGAAAATAAAAACAAATATACACACAAAACCCCCAGCTCCGCCGCTAGAGCTCACGCAGAGAGTTGGTGCATGCGCAGTACACCCTTGGGTTTTGTCCAGGATAAAACGGGGTTATTGTCTGGAGTTTGCTGTAAAACCTCCACTCTTCAACAGTGTGTTAATATCAACAGCAGAAAGGGAATCAGCTCAGATTTTAGAGGAAATAACCTCTTTATTGAGCAAAAGATTAATTTCGGGTCGTTCCGCAGGAGAACAGCCAGAACGGCTTTTACTGTACATCCTTAATTGGAAAGCTTACCTTTTTGTGAGCCAGTTTTTAGCCACTAAAACCTCCTCCGATTTTTGATCTACACTGTAATGATCGGCCAGACCTCAGAGGTGCTCCTCACAAAAGAAAGCTATCAGATTCAGGATTACAGGCCTGAACACCTCTCAATATTTGGCCATTAAGAGATGAAAAACCTTGCTCCATCTCAGACACCATTCTGTCAAGGCAAGGTAGAAACAGAAACCAGCTCAAACCAGCAGACATGCTTCAAAACATACCTAACCAGCATTGGGCCACAATGCTGTAATATTTCCCTCTATATTTTGACCAGTGGTTTTTGTGTTCTCTGCTGCCACTGTGCTCATCTCCCTTAGTTTCCTTTGCATGCCTCTCCTGTCTTCCACTCTGCCCTGCCTCCAACAGTTCATCCAGCTCCATCTGTCTTACTTCTCCTCCACCTGTAGGGTCTTAGTCAGACATTACATGAAAAGGCATCAGTTCTCAGGAAAACCTCTGTAAAGTCTATAAAATTGCATTATCCAACATCAAGCAGGGCGTCCTAAAATAAAACCGTTACAGACAAAAATACAGGAAGACGGTGCACTTGTATTACTTATGAATGGGAGAAATTGCAACGCCCAATATGGTGAATAAGCCTCGCCTTCTACATGAAAGAGACAATGGTTGATTAGTAAAGTCATCATATGGTGGCCCATAGAAACAGTCACTGATGAGGCATCTACGTATATATATATATATAT